GCCTCGGTCTTTGAGCCCTCCCTGCAGCTGCCACAGCACCCTGCAGCGCCAGCTCCCCGACTGCCTTTGTTCGTAAAGTGAGCCCTGTGTGTTTAATCCCATGTACTTCGGGATTCTATAGCACTGAGCATAGCCTAATCCTAAACACCACATCTAACTGGAAAGTCCTCATTGCTCAGAGACTCGGATGTCTGCAAATATGTTAAAGTGTGGCTAGAATAACTTCCAGAGACACAAAAGAGCTAAGATGCAATATGATCTGTATTGACACTCGGGTCCTCCAAAGAGACTGCTAAAGCAGGTGCCGGGTGTCGCGCGGCATTTACTCAGAAGGCCGTGGCTGAGACCACTGTGGTAAGGATGGCTTAGATTATCACCATCAGCGAGGCCAACCCGAGGCTGGGTACCTAGGAAACAGAGCTCCGGAGACAGAGGCACCTTCCCAAAGACACAGCCACTTGGTGCGCAGGCCTCATGAGAGCTCAGGAACAGCAGGGCATCCCCCAGCAGAGCCCCGCTGTCAGGCGGTGAGCCCCACCACCGAGGAGGTACTCATTGCCGTACCCCCGCTCCTTCCAGGGGACCCTTCCAGCTGCGATCCCCCGGGGCAGCAAGTTCGCCAAATCATCTCTCAATTCACTCCCAAGTCCAGAACTCCATGGCTTGCTCGGGACCAAGAGGAAAGGGAAAGATGGAGGTCACGCCCTCTTCCGCTCACACGTCCCCGGCCTATGTTTCTGCGACGCCTCTGCATATAAAACACGTGACATTATTATAGGCGGCCCTGTGCGCAACGATATTCTGAGCCCCCAGCTTCACCCAGAACGCGGGGCCAGTGGGGTGGGCCGACAGCCTGCTTCCTTCCTTCTCCAGCCTCTGTGCCTGCCCTCTTTCCTATGTCCCTGTCTCCTGCAGGGAAAGTAAGAGCCATGTGACATCATGACGCCTGCACAGCCATGGAAGAGAAGCTACTGGTGTCTGATCTGGCTCAAAGACCAGACGGGGGCCGACCAGAAGTCTCCGGAACTGTTCTGACGCAGCCTCCCCACGGGAGGAGTGGCTGTTGTTCGCAGAAGCTTATCAACATTTTCTTAGCGCTGTTATTAAGGCAGCCCGCTTGCCCCAAGCTGATGAATTTTAAAAGAAGCATAAAATAATTTTTTAAGAAACCTTGAAGCTGAAGGAGTAATGAATGTTTAAAAGCCTGGCTTGTTTGAAGCTCCTCTCTGCAGTGGATTAACCCATTCACTGATTGCAGATTCAGAGAAAAGAAAATTATTAGCAGATTCCAAGGACCATGTTAGCCATTAAACATCTTTGACCATTTAATTCTTAGAAGAGCCCTGTCAGGCAGGAGTTGTGCCCCTCCCACCCCCATCCAGTTCTAACTAGGGGAGCTGGCCAAACCCGGCTGGGGACTACAGGGCCCACACTGTGGTGTCCACGCTGGGCCCAGCCGGGCCCTCATCCTCTACTGCAAGCCCGGCCCTGGGGCTCAGCCAGGACAGATGGCTCACTTAGCCTGCACAGGGACAATCTCTCGTCCTGGCCTGCCTGCTCACAAACCTCCGAGCCTGGCCAACAAGGTCAAAAGCTCT